CATATAAGTAAATCAGTAGTCAGCGTCAATAAATGCAAGTTAAATGACGCTGAATGTTCCTTTATAATTATTATAATAGTTGGAATAGTAAGAATTTAATGAAATAAAAAACAAAATTTAAAATTTGAGTTTTACTTTTTAAGTATATTATTTATCTACAGGTAGTCTATGTGAAACATTTTTTATAGAACTTTTCATCAAGCACGAGATAACGGCAAATATATTGAAGATGGCCTAGATGAACATGAAAATTATAGTCTTTTAACCTTGGTGCTTTACACATAAATTGTTTCGCAATTTTTGCTAAAAGTTTGTTGAATCAATCTCAGAAAATGTTTGAATCCTCTAATCTTAATTAGTTATGAGATTGCTAAAAAGCACATTGAACTCCTCTAATTCACAAGCTAAAATTTTAACTGTTTCGAAAGTAGATACTTATAATAACTTTCACTATTTTGAATGAACTGCCATGCATTCACCTCAAATTAACATTTAAAGAGGTACTTGCCTTTCAAGTCAAATGAATTCAACTGAGTTGATCAACTCAATCGACTAATGTAAACGCACCTTTACATACTCTCAAATAATATATGCGATGATATTTGTAGACTCAATTAGCTACTTGAAAGGGACACTGGAGGCAATAAGCTTATAACGTGCCTATAAAAAAACTTCGATAAATTCAGGTCCATTATATATATTTGTGTTTCAAGAATAGGTAGAGAGGGTAAGAGGCGAGTAGAGTCTAGGTTCTGGGTCACTGGTTCTAGTCTAGGTCTGTTATCTCTGGTCCAGGTAGAGTAGTTTCGGGAAATATTTCGACAACTCCACCCACAATGCGTCGGAGGGGAAAATACACGAGGTTCGAAATAGTAGTTTGTGCAACAAGAGTGGATATGATAGCCATATCGCACGAAGAGTCTGAGTGCGATATGGACAATCCACTCGAGTTGCATGGTATATTTTTTCTACGACCCACTAACGGAAATCTACAAATTAAAAAAATATTTTAGATTATTAAGACAAAACTAATTCTAAAATAATTTATGAATTTTACTGTTTTTTAAAATAAAATAAATATTAAAAAAAATCCATCCCCGGCTTTTCGCGTGGAAGTCAAGCACTCTGTCCATGCCTCTACGTCCACTTTTACCATTTTGGTATTGTAATTAAAATAGATTCATATAGTTTGATTAAAATTTAATTTTTTTTTTTTTTCAGAATATGGTTCAAATAAAAATAGATTATTTATTGATTCTACACAAAAATAACTCATTGTATATTTAATCTTAAGGCCAAGTTCAACGTGTTGTCAATGACAAGTGACGGCGACTTTTTTATCACAAAAAATACAGCTCTGAATGATAATATTTTGAGAAATTGTTTTTAAAAATGGGTTCAGAGTACGGTAAAGAATGGTGGAAAGTCTATAGTTTGTTTTACTTTTAATGTATAATATTTTAATAAGTGATATTTAACAAATATTTAAAAGTTATGGACTTTCCACCATTTTTTATAATATTTAAAAGCTAAAACACAAAATACACTCTTTTATATTTGCCCTAATTATTTCAGGAAACTTGTGTTAAGATTTAATAATATATTGGTGCCAATTTGCAACCGTGCTAATTTGCGACATACGTTTTATTAAACTCATCGTGTTACGTCTTTGTTGACATTAAGAGATATAAATTTAAAGTGACGTCTTGTATTACTTTGAATGAAAAATCGTTTTCTAACATAAGAAAAAAGTTGAACTTGGCCTTAATAGTTAAAAAATATGCTGACAATTAGTTTGACAGAATTGTCACCTATTCAAAAATTTAAAAATAATAGTTTGGTGGGGGGTGGGTGGGGAGTGGTTAGAGTCATGACTCTGAGATCGGAAGGTCTCAGGATCGAATCCCACCGGTGGCAGGAATTTTTATTTAATTAAAATATTAATTCTAATGCATAGGTAGGATTCCCCACTCGACCATTCACTGTTGGGTTCTAATTAACAGTGCTGTTCCTAAAGTGGCGCTGGGAAACAGTAACAAAGCCTACACAGAACACGAGGCTAATGGCCGTAGTAGTCGACGCCGATGACACCAAATTAAAAAAAAAAAATAGTTTGGTGTCCAATAGTGTCCAAAATATGAACTATGATTGGTGTATTTCATTTTTTTGCAGTCTTCTTACTACCTAGAATGGATATGAAATATATTCGTTCACATACTTTTTCGTTGACATACTTTTTCGTTTTGTAGTCCGTGCGTAGATAAGCTAATATCCATGTCACTGTAGAAAAAGGAATTGGAGGGGACCACATACTTTGATTTTCTTTTACTATACGGAGAATGGTCGCACTGCGCAGCTTTCTGAGTGCCTTTTAAAAGGAGATAGAAAACTCCGCCATTTTGATCCTTTATTACGTGTAGTCTACATCTTGGCGCAATATTTTTAATAGGTGAGTTTTAATCATCCGCTTCTGCTTCGGAATTGTCGGTTTTCTTGTTTTAATCTGACAGGTTAAAACGACTAATCCGACAATTCCGGAAGCAGAAGCGGATGATTAAAACGCAATATTTTGCTTGGTGCTGTCAGTGTCAGTGAATATTATTTTTGGAGTCACAGTTTATTGCTAAAGAATCAGTTAGCTCACTCGAACCAGTTGAAAGTTTCAAAATAACATCCACTCCAGGGATACAAATTCAGGATACGCAGAAGACTGCTGTTTTATTATAGGCGGTTGTCATATATTGTATTATCAGAGTTGCGCAGTGTTTAAACTGGAACATTGAGATCAAAAGTGCCGACGCAGAGTGTGCGATCTGATTCTTTAGCTATAAACTGTGGCATAGGAATCAAAATGGCCGCACCCTATGTTGGGCGTGTCGGACCTCTCTCTTGCACCGTATAGTAATCAAAGTATATGGAGGGGACGCTTGACGTGTCTGAATATATCTCAAACAGTGTTGCCAGTCTAGTACATTATTCACAGAACTGAAATTAGGAGATGGATTTGATGTCAATTCTTGTTCAAAATTTACGTTTCGATAAGGAGTTTCAAAATTGAGGTTTGAGTTTGCGCAGTAAGTATCTACCAGACATGTCAATTGTCATTTGTGTCATTTGTGACGATTAACCGCGTATTGTACAACACGCCGTTTTTTTTTTTCTGAAACATTGTTATATATGTTTTTTCAAATTATGACCTTGTTTGGCACCTACTGCGCAAACTCAAAAAACCTCAATTTTATTCCCCTTGTAGGAACGTTTTTGTAAACTGTCAAATCCATTCTCCCAATTTCAGTTCTGTGACATTATGTAAGAATCTGGTACTCTAGTACCTACACTCGAAGCAAAATCTAGTACTTTTTCTTTTTAGCCTGTTTCCATTTGACGGGTAAAATATATTGTTGGGTTCTTCCTTGTTCTTCCCTTACCTATGCCTCCTTATTTTTGTTCGTTCTCGATGGCTTTTTTCTGTTCTTCAATGAACTAAATAAACCATATCAATTCGAAAAATATGGTACATTTTATAGAATATGGTACATTTTTATGGAATCTGGTACATTTCTCAGACAAATTTGGTACATAACCAAAATATATTCTGGCAACCGGCAACATTAATCTCAAAACTATTCTAGTAAAATGTTTTCCAGCCTACTCCCAATAAAAGATGTGGTTTAAAAAAGTAGTTCCTAGATTATCAGATCACCTACCTAGGTGAAGGTAACCAGGTACCTAATATTTTTCAGAATAATTATTGTAAATTGTACCTACAATGTTTTAAAAAATACCCACACTAATAGGTACACATTTAAGAATATTATTTAAATTCAATTCGGTTGATATAAAAAAATTAAAGCGAAGTTTGATATTCAACCGAACATGATTGTTAGAATCGATTAATCCTGTTTATTCCATGTTTTGATTGCAATTTCGATTCAGTCGTGAACTCAAATCTCATCCGTCACAAATGATTGGTTCACTCGACAGTTTTAAATACTTGATTCGAATGCTTTTGACATGCAATACCGATTGTATAGGTACCTATACTGTCGTCATATGAAAGACCCCCGTATATCCAGGAAACATGATTTCGAGAAAAACGCGCTTAAACATATTTTGTTTGGCCGCAAAGCTATTTACGGAGAAATAATTTTCTATGATAAATTTAGGAAAAATAAGCAAATACGGTTTTTTTCTTAGTAAAATGGTAGTTTATGCTACCTGAAACATGTATATGGTGATACTTTTTTTTTCAATTTTTGGAGATAGGTATAGGGTTTTTCATAGGACGGCAGTACCTATACCTATACCTATTCCTTAAAATATCCAATATCCAAACGAACATAACATAAACTCAACGTAAACAAGTACATCTATATAACCAATAAAATATCCGCCGTGACCTTGCTCGGGAATATAGACAACGCGAAAATCGACACAATCTTTAAAATATTTTATCCGGTTATTTTTACTTACTGAAACAAAACATTTATTAAATTTTAACGTCGACGGCGGGGCCTTTCCTGAGGCAGTACACACAATCGAAAAGTCGAAAACGAAAACAGTGCTGAACTTCCAACTAAACGTGAATATGTGAATAAGCGCGATACCGGAAAAAGGTATGCATTCATTAAAAAAATTTTAAATGTTGGTATACCTACCTACTTGTTTGATTTGATATATCTGAGAATGCGTATTCTACACACTTCAAGGTACTCTGTTATTCGGAATTTTGTTCTAATACTGGATAAGAATAAATTGGCGTTTTAGATAAGCAAATTTTAATATACCTATACCAGTATCCACATTAATATCCTGTTGGAAAATATAATCGCGACTTTGATAATGATTGTGCATAGCTAGTTATGCTTTTGTTTCATTATCATTTTATACAAAACCAGCACCGTGCTCGACCATCAATGACTTACTTGAATTTATGAATTTCTTTCTGAGCTGCTTAAATTACAGGTTAGTAGAATCTAAACTTTATTAATCTTTTATAGGTAAATGGTGTTGTGTTACATGGTCGCTGTCATCTAAATGCTTCCGCTATCATTAAAGGCCTATCTGGACCAATATTTAAAGTTATAATTTTAAGGTAAACATTAGTCAAATAATTATTAATTACATTTACTTCTATATTCAAAAATCATTTACATGCAGTACTTTCTAAAATCTGACAATAATAATAGGCATATAAATAAGCATGTTTTTTAATAAATACAACACTTATATATATGTAACCAGTTATACACAAAGGTGTATTAATAAAACTAGTTGCCTATATAGTGTGTATGATAGTTTTTATTTACGTTATTTAGAATTCTATTACTTATAAATAATTATAAACAATTATTTTTATTATGTAACGCTTAAGTTTAGTTGTAAACTCGAATTCAATGATTTTATGCATTGTTTTTATAATAAGAGTGATTTCTTTACAAGCTTTTTATTTCATGCAAATTTTAAGGTGATTGCTTATATATTTTTATTAGTTTGAATGGGCTATTTTGCATCTATAATACATCAAGGTTCTGTTTTATTATTTGTTTTAATATTTTTTAAATCCAGTGTTGTTAAATCGTTAGCTTGCAAAACTAGTTTTGTCATCTGTTATTATTAGGTATTTTTACCATTCAATTTTTTAGAGGTTAGGTGTAATGTTGACACTCTTATTTCCACAATATTTTTTGTTGTTACGGTAATTATATGATTTGTTGTGTGCACCAAACTAATTTTAAAACTATTTATTATTGCAGGCGAAAAACTGCCATCGATGATATCGCTGTTAAGCCCATTACCCAATTCCCTATTTCGTTGGCAGAAGAGGTGAGTTAATAAAATTATTTATTTATCAATTCAGCATGTTTCGGCATTTTACACTTTGTTTTCCATTAATTTTTAAATTAGGTTTTATATACCTACCAGAATCACTGATTTGTATGTATCTATAGGTCTAAAATGATTAATATTTATAATAGTAGGAATAGGATAGAAATTTATAAAATATATTTTCTTTGCCTACCTATTATTTATTTTCTTGATAAAATTGTGACTTAACAAATAGGTATGTGAAAAAATAAATAATTGTTTGAGTTGTGGTCATTTTTGAAACCCTGTCAGCCAAATATATTATTTCAAAAACTAAAAAATATCACAAAATTGCCCAATACCAACCAGTCAGTTTATTAATGTTTTTACGTGTAGGTTCATATTTATAGAAAAACATAACTAGGTACTTACCTATTTTTAATGTTACTGATTTATAAAAATTATTTAAATTAATTTATAAACAGAATTGAGAATAAACATATTCTTGTATGGTTCAAATTATTTATACCTACTCTAAAATTGTAAATTTTAAATATATTAGATTAAAAATAATATTAAATTTATGGTAGGTAAATTAAAATATATCTGACTGAAACCAAAGACAAAATCTGACTAGGGTTTCTGAAATGGCTTATTTATGGTTGAAGATTAACAAAAAATAATTATAAATCACATTTAGGAAAGAATTATTTACAATTAAAGATTATGCAATACTTAGTTTTAAAAAATGTTTGAAAGTTGGAAAGATAAGGTCATAATGCATTGTATTTTAATAAAACATAAAAGATACCTTAAGTGCATGATTGAGCAAACAAATATCAGCATCCAATAATATCAATTTATTCCCATTTAAGATGACAATATAGGTCAAGTCCTTGTAGGTACTTACCTTTTTAGAAGAATTTTATATAAAGCTATACATAGAATTTTAATATTTTTGTTTTTTAAAACACTTTTAATAGAAAGCAGTGGATCCAAGTTCAGCTTTAATGTATTGTTGAAAATTTCCATCATTTTGTGTAATTACTAATTTAGAAAGTTATATGGTTCATTCTAAATACAATTAATTACAAATTTTCTACATATTAGGTATTATTCTTATCAGAAAACAGTTGAAAATATATGCAGTGAATTAAATTTACCAAGTTTCATCAGTAAATTACAAAAAAAGCTAATTCATGATAATAATTTCTTGTGTTTTCATGTTTTTACTGCTAATGTCAGTTTATCCTTTTCAAACTGTCATTAAAACTAAATAGAAGCTATATTTTTCGATTTTAATTATTGTGTTTAATGTACAAAAAATTCTTAATAACAGAATCCCTAAAAGCTTAACTTGTGATAATTATAAATTTAAAAAATTTACTTTTTCTAATTTTGACATATAAAGTGACATTTTTTGTAATCGCAGCACAGTTTATAGCTAAAGAATCAGTTAGCTCACTCGGACCACCTGGATGTTCCAAACTAACATCCACTCTAGGGATACAAATTTAGATGCGCAGAAGACTGTTGTTTGGATATAGGCGGTTGTCATTATTGTATTTGGTTATAGTAAGAGAGCACACTGAAAATTTCGACGGTCATCTGATAAAGAAATGAAATATGCTCCAAAGGCATGTAACAACATTGTACTTTACCAAATTGCACCTGTGCCAATCCCTATCCTGAGTAAAGTGGTTAAAAAAATTTATTTAATATTCAAAAAATCACATAAGACATGACAACGACAATTGTGCTTTCCCTGAAAATTACAATCCTAATTCATTGTGAACCTAGCTTTTAAACCTGAAATATTATTATTTTTACCTACCGTTTAAACCATGTGTATGTATAAACCATTTGCAGGGATAGTCAATAATAATTATAAATAGTCCAGGGCATTTAGATCAAAATCGACCAAAATAGCGGAAATTTATAGGGACAGCAGATATCGAGATGCGGTTTTCTGCATTGTGTTCAGGAAGGTCATAGGAAAAAAGTCTATATCGTCTGGTTTAGCAATTTTTTGAAAAATGCCTTCTGGGTCGCATTTTCCAATTGCATCATTACTTGCACCATTATAGGAACGACTGGAAACTCGTCAAAATCACTCGGAAATCGTTACTCGGGGATTTTCGGGGCTGCCGAACTCGATTCTGGCATTAAAATTACCCGGGAGTTTCTCTGTGGGGGTGCACGGGGGGCGAATTGGGGAAAAATGGCAGCGTGCATGAAAATCACTCCAAACTCGTTACTCGGGGGTTTTCGAGGATGCCGAATTCAATTCTGGCATTGGAATTACTTGGGGGCGCTCGGGGGCGGCTCTGCGGGGTTATCCGGTGGGTCATTCAAGGGGGTGCATAGTTCATGGGAAGCGCTCCAAACTCGTTACTCGGGGGGTTTTCGGGGATGCTGAATTCAATTCTGGCATTAGACTTCCCGGGGGTGGCTCTGTGGGATTGTCTGGTGGTAATTGGAGGGAAATGGCAGCGTTCATGAAAATCACTCCAAAATCGTTACTCGGGGGGGTTTTCGGGGATGCCGAATTCAATGCTGGTATTAGAATTACCCGGGGGTATGAATAATAAAAATTTTGATTGAATATTAAATAAATATTACACATTATAAAAATAATTGCCTTGGAAGTCTTTTGTGTCTCAAAATTGGATTTAAAAAAGGCGCCAAAACTATAAAGAGAGTAGATTATCGTTACCACGGGGACCGGCGCGAACAGAAATATTCTGTATCGACTGAAGAAAAAAATATGAACCCAGTTCCCGCGCGCAATCGGCGTCTGTATGTATGTATTACATCTGTCGTTGAGGACCACGTTGCTTTTTCGTTGTATGTAAATACAGTGCTACAGTAATCAAGTTTCTTGGATTTTGGAATTTTTTTTGGTGTGCCAGAATTGAATTCGGCATCCTCGAAAACCCCCGAGTAACGATTTTAGAGTGATTTTCATAGACGCTGTCATTTCCCCCAATCACCCCTAGACAACCCCACAGAGCCACCCCCCGAGCGCCCCCGGGGTAATCTAATGCTAGAATTGAATTCGGCGTCTCCGAAAACTCTCCGAGTAACGAGTTTGGAGCGTTTCTCATGGACTATGCAATTTCCTCCACAGAATGACCGCCCGGATACCCCCACAGAGCCGCCCTCCAGCGCCCGCGGGTAATTCCAATGCCAGAATTGAATTCGGCATCCCCGAAAACCCCTCGAGTAACGAGGTTGAAGCATGCATGCTACCATTTCTCCCTAATTCACCCCCACAGAGCCACCCCCGGGTAATTATAATGCCAGAATCAAGTTCGGCAGCCCCGAAAACCCCCGAGTAACGATTTTAGAGTGATTTTTTTATAGACGCTGTCATTTCCCCCAATCACCCCTAGAGTAACGAGTTTGGAGCGCTTCCCATGGACTATGCAATTTCCCCCACAGAATGACCGCCCGGATACACCCACAGAGCTGCCCTCGAGCGCCCGCGGGTAATTCCAATGCCAGAATTGAATTCGGCATTCCCGAAAATCCCCGAGTAACGAGGTTGAAGCGATTTTCATGCATGCTACCATTTCTCCCCAATTCACCCCCCGCGCACCCCCACAGAGCCACCCCCGGGTAATTATAATGCCAGATTTGGCAGCCCCGAAAACCCTCCGAGTAACGATTTCTGAGCGATTTTTCCGAGTTTCCAGTCGTTCCTATAATGGTGCAAGTAATGATGCAATTGGAAAATGCATTTTCCGGTCCAGAAGGCATTTTTCAAAAAATGGCTAAACCAGACGATATAGACTTTTTTCCTGGGACCTTCCTGAACACAATGCAGAAAACCGCATCTCGATATCTGCTGTCCCTAAAAATTTCCGCTATTTTTCCTAACTTCCCTGGACTAAAACTCTTGTTAGATAATTCTTTTAAACCATAATCATAGTAGTTTTTTTGTCGTTTCTCTGGCGACCTATAAAAATGAATCACAACAATAGGCATTAAATAAATGTTTAAATCAAAAAAATATTTTTCCTATGACCACTTAGGAAAGTGACACATCACACTATATAATCCTATGGAAAGTGCCCTATATCACACGCATATGAATAAGAATTTACTTTCCACCCGCGTACGAATATGCTACTTTCCGCAGTAGCTGTCAGAAAATGTCAAACACATAATTTCTATTTTGATCTATGTAATGTCCATATTAATACTAAAATCGATATGATTGTTAAATTATTGAAATTGTTGTAAATTAGATCCTAGATATTTATCTTTAACAATTATTATTAAAATAATTTTAAAATAACTAAGATATATTTGCTTTTTATTCTGGTTAAACACATAAGCCATTAGATCAATCAATTACCGTAAGGCCTGTTAGCTCAGTTGGTTAGAGCGTCAACTTTGCAATTTGAGACCGTTGAGCGACCCCGTTCAAATCCTGGCTGTGCCAGAATTTTTTTTTGCTTTTTAATTTTTTTTTATTTGTTTAGAAATTATGAAAATTGAATAAATACGATTATTGTTGATTATTTTTTTAAATACATTTTAATTATTATATGGTTTTACATTTTTTGATGAAATTATTTTGTGGTCGTAGGAAAAATTTTGTACATCACTGGTGTGAAAAGTGATTTTCCACACTCGTAATGTAATATACTATATATTTTTAATGATTTTTACCTACTAATCGTGGATAGATGTTTTTGTGCGATGTTAAGAGGAAGAAAATGTTATTCTTATATATCAAAATATATTTGAATATGTTATTTTCTGGATAACACTAAAGACAAATAAAATTAGCTCAGGACTGGGATTGGCACAGGTGCTATTTGGTAAAGTACAATGTTTTTACATGCTTTTTGGGGTATATTTCAGTTCGTTATCAGATGACGGTAAAAATTTGCAGTGGGCTCTTGGGCTATTATGATTTGACTCTCTATGCGCCAGGTATACAAATCAGAGTTGTGCAATGTGTAAACTGGGACATTGAGATCAAAAGTGCCGACGCAGAGTGAGCG